TGGAACAGCCAACTTTAACTCAGGTTTTGGAAAAGCGATGAAAAATGTCAAGAGAAAATCCACGGGCAGTTAAAATAACAGAGGCTCGACTCATTTTATCGCTCTGGATGACCAGCCAATGCCGGTCGTGGAAAACATAGGATTCTTTTCAGCATACTCGAGCTGCGATATGAAATAATAAATAAACAGAAGTGTTTATTTATTATTCTGAAAGCTCGAGACAGTGCCAATAGTTCAGTAATATTTTGTAAAATTACAATGTGGAGACTCCGCAATAATTTAACAGAAGTGCTTATTGAAGTTTTTTTTAAGTGCTTACTTGAAATTTTTTTGTGGTCATTTCTAGTAAGATTTTATTTTTTATCGGCGGAGAATAAAATAAAACCTGTCTTCCAATTCATTGCATTTGTGTGTGTGGGGTAGAAGTATCGGTTTTTGTACTCGGTATCGGCAAGTACTCAAATCCAAGTATCGGTATCGTATCGGTTTGAAAAAATTGGTATCGTTGCATCCCTAGTCACTGGGGTAAAAAAAAGAAAAGAAAAGTGGGCACGTCTTTTTTTTCTTCTTTTCCAGAATTCTGAGAAAAAATTTATTTGACTTTAATCTCAGGATTCTGACTTTTTTCTCAGAATTCTGAGATTAAAGTCAGAATTCTGAGAAAAAAGTAATTCTGATGAAAAAGTCTGAATTCTGGAAAATAAGAAGAAGGAGGAAAAAAAAAAGATGTGCCCACTTTTTTCCCCAGTGGCCCTGATCCTCTTCCGTATTACAAGAGTGCCGTATTCGTGATTCTTCCGCTTAATTTTTTTATTTTTATTTTTTAAAAATGGCGAACAGTGAATGGTTAGCTAATGGCCTGAACAGTTGGCGTCACCTTTTTGGAAAGGAGTGATTCATTCAAATAAACTCTCATACACAATGGCAGACACATCTGCTCCCACATGTTGCTGATATGTCTATAAAATGGTGCAAATTCAGAAAACAAATGTTTAAAACGTTAAAAGAAAAAGACAATAATTACCCAAGTTTCTCAGTACAATTATGGTAGTCGTGCTGATTCACAGGAGACAAAGTGGCGCTCTCCCACACGGAGGTTTTTCCAGTTTTCATCTCATTCAGTGATGACTAGCATTTAGTGCAGCCTTTTAAAATAAACCTAAAAAAGCTCCCATGGTTTTTGGGAACGCTTCTGTTTTTTAAAGTGAACTTTTTCCTCTTAGTCCGTCCTTGACAAAAGCTGCGATGAAAGCAAACATGAGCCAGCTGCACGGAGATGACCAAACTGATGGGATTACTTTGTAAGTGGCTGACTCGCACACGCTTTCAATCTTTTCCTGCCAAACTATTTTTGGTGTTTTTTTTCTGTTGTTGTTGAAGAGGAAACCTTCTTTGTGCCAGCCTGAAAGCACCCTTTCAAAACAAAAGATAACAAGTATTGACTAGCACCAATATGTGCACCTACTTCTTTAATCTGTGGCTTTACTGTCGTATTATACCATGAAATGGTATGTGTATATACAAGCTCCCGAATCTCAAGTATTTACCGAGATTTGCTGTGTACAGGATGTGAATATAATACACGATATGCACAATATCATAAGTGTACAGATGAGGAAAATGATTCCAGTCCTATAGGTATCCTATAATAATTTTAGTAATAAAAAAATCCCAGTTTTCCTCTTTTGTCTGCTTCGTTGCAGAAGAGTCTCACGTGTGTCCTGATGGGAGAATCCGATATTATTTTCTTCTTTGTGTACAGCCTAAATCAACAGACGTGAAGTTTGAGGAGTCTGAGTTTACCTTCTACTCCTCTGCTTCCTGGCTGTGAGGGAAGGGCAAAGAGACGGCGTGCTCCTGCGTGAGGGCAGCCAGCTCCTTGAGGAACTCGCAGAAGATAACGGCGCAGTAGACGGCGTTCTTTACTCGCAGCGCTTCGGCTTGCTTCTCAAGGCCAGATGCCCCTCCGCTTCCCCGGAACAGAGCGCTGTGCAGCGATTGGCCGCCATCCCGTACGTGTGCGAGGGCGAGCTGAGCGGCGTGCCGAGCCCGCGTTGGACTGTTCGTGTGACGAAGAATCAGGTCTCCGAGAGATGGCTTTCGACTCTTCACTGGAAGAGAAGGGCACGGTTTCACAACAGGGAAATAAAACCGTGACGCGAGACTACTCTGACATCTCTGCGATTTCCCGGCGTTTTCTAAGATAGAAAAGAAGTCACCAAGTGGGCCTGTAGAGATTGACAGACCACGTGATTTTCGCGCATTGCATGCTGGGAACTCGTGGCAAAACAATCCAAGTACCGCATCAAACGCAAGCATTTGAAGCACCGCAAAACGTTCATTCTCCGGTTCCAATAAATTCTTGATTTTTCTTTGCCCCCCAAAAAAGTTATGTACAAAACGAAGGAGAACAATGCCGGTCCGTACAAAGACAGACGAGGAAAAAATCAAAGGAGTGAAAGGTTTAGACCCGTACGAGCACACAGAGTGGACAAAAGACGTTAGCGTGCTGCCCAACTTCAGGTCACTGCAACAAGCCCCGGTACAGTTTACCGACGGATGGGTACAGGACTTTGAAATGCACCGTGTAGAACGAAACACCATCGTACGTATCATAAGTTTACCTCACAAATCGTCTTCATAAATACACATTCGTTAATGTTAACGCCTCTTTGTTCCTTCGGAAACACGGCTCGAGCAATTTCTCTTCAGCGACGTAATCCGATAACAAACGATCTCTTTACCCGTCGGCTTCCCGTGGCTGTCATGCGACCGGCTATCGTAGTTAATAAAACAACAGCTTCTTGCCATTTTTTGTGTTTCTTTTTATCGCTGTATAACTGATTTGAATTAAAAGCCTGCGTGCGCTAGTACCTCTTGCCACGAGTTCCCAGAATTCTTTGCGGTTTTACCCCTGAGTGACGTCACATTTTCAAATCTCTATAGTTCTGATTATCACCTTTAATGTGGAGTTTGGTAACAAATCACTGCACAGCAAAAAGCAAAAAACCCTCAAAAACCTCAAAAAGTACTAATGGTAAGATGTTACGGCACCAATAAATCGCTTCTTCTGCTTTCTAACAGTTTTGTCTTTTTTTCTTTTTTCAATTTATCCTAAATTTTTCCAATTCAAATGTACTTTTATTGGAATTTCGTAGTGTGTTTAAAATATTTTTAAACATCTTTGTTAATTGGTTTTTGGTAAATTATCTGTGATTAACACTTCTCACTAAATTTATGACCAAAGTCATCAAAGCCACGCCTGTATGTGTAAATGTAGCTCTTCCTATTTCTATACTCACCAAGGGAATCAGAGCGGCGCAAAGTAGGAACTGCTGCCGGCGAGTCGCTCCAGTCCACTTTGCTTCGGGCCACCAAGTACTGCTGAGCTTTCCTCAGCATGGCAGGAAAGTCCTCGTGACATGCGGCAAATGCCTCGATGCGGTTCTTCACAGAACCTAAAACCTGAGGAGAGTTGTGGAAACAAACTTTTTAACTTTTTGATCACCTTTGCTTGATGTTGTTAACCCCTCTCTCACATGAACTTAACAATTTAAGTTTTATAAAAGGAACAGAGTCTATTGCCTTCAATAAAAGCGACACTCTGAGTGTGAAGTTTGAGAAAAATCCACAAAGTCACTAAAACTGAAACTGTTGAACTTTCTGTGAATGTGCTCGCTGGGTGTGGATGGATCACTCGACTGAAACTGCAGTTATATTCATTCATTTATTGGATTTTTTCATGTCCACTGCAGCAGTGAATTCAAGTATCTGAAAATAAAGAAAATGAATGTGGAAAGAAACTGGATGCAAATATCACTGTGGGCCTGATGCTTTTGGAACCAGAGCGTGCACAGAAGTAAGGTGGGCTGGAAGTGGACAACTATGCCTAAAGGCAGACACCCAAAAACTGTAACCCTTTCAAAGACAAACAAAGAAACTATTCCCTTTCTCTACTATTTTCAGAACAAGGGGAAAGAGGGCACCGAAAACTATTATAAACAACTTCTGCATAGTGCAGCGTACCTGGATTAGTGACTTGACACTGGGCTGGAAGACCATGTTGGTGTTGAGCAGGAAGGAGCGTAGGAGGGGCTGAGGATAGCAGGCCAGCTGGGCCACAATGCCAGTGAGCAGGATGTTGACGTATAACGAGTTTTGGAGCATGTTCTCCAGCTTGGCAAACAGAACTGTCATGAATGGACCTGCACGGAGGAAGAGCGGTGGATCATTGAACAGAAAGATGCTCAACTCTTGTCAGCAGGGAAACTGTAACAGTTTCTCAGAAGTGGGTTTTAACTGCTTGTGATTATA